TTGTGCCTACAGGTTCATCGGAACGCGCAAGCCCCCTCACCACGACAAGGTGACAGTCCATCGAGGGGGATGAAAGGCACTGCAGACTAATTCAACCACAGAAGCCAGCCATAACAGAGCATCTGATGAACCAACCTAGACACAGCATATTATTTGAGAGCACAGAAATGCTGGACCACTCAAAAAACCATGATGTCAGACTACACAGAGAAGCTATTGAAATCCACAAGTACTGTATATACTTGAGTATAAGCCTAGTTTTTCAGCCCCTTTTTGGGGCTGAAAAAGTCCTCCTTGGTTTATACTCAAGTCAAGGTTATTTATTATTTTACTCTGTTATTATTATTATTATTATTTTCATTTCGTTTATTGTTTTATTCTATTTATTACTATTACATTTATCATTTTACTCTATTATTATACATTTATTATTTTACTGCATAATTGTTGTTATTGCTACATTCATTATTTTACTCTTTTTATTATTGTTGTTGTTATTACATTTATTATGTTACTCTATTATTATTGGAAGGATACGTAAGCACATTTACATTGAAGAAGGTAAATAATCATTTAATCAGAGTTGGACAGTCTTATCTTAAATTACCATTTTTGTAAATATTCAAAAATATATAACCTACTGATTCCTCAATTAATGTAATTTAATTGGTATCTATTTTTATTTTGCAATTTACCCGTAGCGGCTGCATTTCCCACCCTCGGCTTATACTCGAGTCAATCCGTTTTCTCAGTTTTTTGTGGTAAAATTAGGTGCCTCGGCTTATATTCGGGTTGGTTTATACTCAAGTATATACAATAAATCCACAAGTGTACAATTTCAGCAGAAAGGAGGAAACCATGAATATTAACAAAATCTGGCTACCAGTATTAAAAAAAACTCAGGACAATAAATCAGGACACTCAAAAGTTACAACAATAATCTGTTAAAACCTGTAAAAAGCATTACCTGTGTTCTGTCAATTTCATAATGTCCTGGCCCTGGAATATCATCTTCAGCATTTTGACTAACGGTTTCAAGACCACGACTTGCCAGAGAAAGAAATGGAGCAAAACCATCTGAAAAAAATGAGGAAAAATCATACCTTGGAAACGCTTGTCCTTATATCACATATTTTTAATACATAAGACCAGCTCCAACATGCCAAACACAGAAGCAGATGAAGGGCTTTCCCTGTATCCCAGCTACGACTGCTGAGGCCTCAGAATGAGAGAAAAACAGGCAGCACCTACCGGACTCAATCCTTTCCCACACTGCCATTCCCTTTTCCTTTTGTGTCATGTCTCAGATTGCAAGCCGGAAAGTAGAGAATTGTTTTTTACTTATATAAATATTGATGCTATTGATGATGGTGATGATAACAGTAATAATATTCAAGAATTAGTGGTGAAAATTACAGCACTCTTTATTTGCAGTCAGACGAGATCATTTGTGCAAACTGATACTCAATGAACTGTTCAATTACACTATGTAAAACTGTTTTTGTTCCTGGATTATAAATGTCATTTCCTAATTGGTTCTATCATAAAAACATGGGAAAAGTTTATTAAGCTGCAAAAGCTTTGTTTTTGCGGGACATCCTGCAGCACATTTTGCTATAGTTTTAGCTTTGCGCAGTGGCAGTATCGTAGCCAAAGGATTAATCCGAGGTGCAATTATTGCTAATTGAAACTACAGTTTTTCAATTAGTAACTCATAGAGTCTCGACCAATTCAATATAGTTTGAAGCAGCCACAAAAACGAAGTTTCTGGAGTTTAACAACTACTTTTAAAGTTATCCCACACAATTAAACAGGAAATAATACTTTCAAACCTATAATCCTATATAGCAATTTAAAATATTATAAAACTACATTTCCTTCAATGACAGGATGCAATAATTAGGAAATGGCTTGACCAGCATTAAATGGGAATGATATAAAATGGCTACTAGTCAAAATGGCTATCTAGCACTGTGGAAGAGTACAGCAGTGGTTCTCAACCTGGGGTCCCCAGATGTTTTTGGCCTACAACTCCCAGAAATCCCAACCAGTTTACCAGCTGTTAGGATTTCTGGGAGTTGAAAGCCAAAAACATCTGGGGACCCCAGGTTGAGAACCACTGGAGTACAGGATCACATCAGTCAGGAGATCTCGGAAAAACACACTCCTCTGCACCTAGGAAAAAACATTTTTTATTCTCCAATGACCTTTAGGAGACAACAAGGACATTTTACTATGTTCTGCTTCTGCAGGCAGACACTTCCACAGAATAGATATAGATAGATAGATAGATAGATAGATAGATAGATAGATAGATAGATAGATAGATATATGAAAATACTTACCAATATCTCTTGCAACTCACATTCAGAAAACCTTACTTAATTTACTATATGCTTTAGTATACAGAAACCTTATGACGTCTTTAAACATCTGTTTTTTTTCACAGCTGGAAATATATATAGTGTTTAAAGAACTGCCATTTTGAACTGGTTCAAAGAAAAAGTAAATGGCATGCTGTGTAAATAATAACACAGTCTGCCTTGATCATTATCTCACACTGAGAATGCATCTTTCCCAAACAACAAAGCTATTAAAAATAGTCTGGTTGGAAAAAAGAAATGGTGAAAACAGACTGCTTTTAAACAGAACTCAAGAAAGATATTGACAAGTGGAACGTGTCCACAGATAGGAGACCAAAACAATCAAAGATCTGGAAGCCAAGCCCTATGGGGAATGGCTTAAGAAAATGGGTGTTTAGCTTGGAAAAGAGAAATTTAAGAGGGGGCATGGTTCCCATGTTTAAATATTTGAAAGAATGTCACATAGAGGAGGAGGCGTTTTCTGCTGCTCTAGAAACCAGGACATGGAGCTATAGATTTAAATTGCAAGAGAAGAGATTCCATAAACTTTAAGAAAAATGTTCTGACAGTAAGGACTGTTCAGCAATGCAATCTGCTGTGTCAGTCTCCTTTGTGGACAGAAAAAGCAGGGTATAAATAAACATAATAATAGATGCTTACATGTATCTCCTGATTATTTACTTACTTAATCTAACAATGCTTACATACACAAATAATAATAATAATAATATTTAAATAAGAATATTATTATTTGATAAGAAATCCAGCATATAGATCTCGTTTGCTGTGACATACTGTGCTTTTGTGTCAGTAAAATAATAATTTTACTGACACAAATTCAGAGTGACACAGTTTTGGAGCCTAATACTCCTGACCTCATAATCGTTTTAAAAAACAAAGCATGGATCATCGATGTCGCAATCCCAGGTGACAGTAGGATTGCAGAAAAACAACAGGAAAAGCTGACATGATATGAGGATTTAAAAATCAAACTGCAAAGACTCTGGCACAAGCCAGTAAAGGTGGTCCCAGTGGTGATCGGCACACTGGGTGCACTGCCTAAAGACCTTGGCCAGTACTTAAAAACAATCGGCGCTGACAAAATTACCATCTATCAACTGCAAAAGGTCACCCTACTCGGATCTGCCCACATTATTCACCGATACATCACATAGTCCTAGACACTTGGGAAGTGTCTGATGAGTGATCCAATACAACAGCCAGCATAGTGATCTTGTTTGCTGTGTACTAATCATGTTGTGTCTCAAATGATGACGATGACGATGATGCTGATAATGCTGATGGAATCTTCTTCTCTGGAGGTTTTGAAGCAGAGGCTGGATGGCCATTTTGATTGTTTTCCTGCATGGCAGAGGATTGGACTTTGTGGTCTCTTCCGTCTCTTTGATTCTATTAATGGTTGCCCTGTTGCCTGGAAAGCATATCAGCTTTCAAATGACATCTTCAATCTCATCATGTAACTGTGCAAAATAGATCTGTAGCATTTGATTTCCACTATAAAAAGCCAGTATCTCTTTAATAATGGAAAGATTGATACTACTGCTCCTACTCCTTCTCCTCTTCGTCATCTTCCTTATTAGGCATTATTGTCTTGTTTTCTATAAAGCTAGGATTTGTAAAAAGCACAATTCTTAAGTTCCAATAATAATAACAGTGAAACTGGATTCTCCTGTACCTCATTTAAACACCACTCACATCTAGTCAGTTTAATCAAAATTCTGGTAGATATTAGTTTCCATATTCCCATGCTGCTAGGCAAAGCAAGCTGTGTGTTATGAATGGACAAATCTGAGACGCAATAGCTCAAATAATGGTGAAAGCTTAGCTGTTATTTGTCCCTATACATTCATTTGTATTACAGCAGCTCTTCTCAACTTGAAGAAGTAGAGTCAAAATAGCTGTGTAACACTTTGTAATAGATATAAGTATGTTTTCACCTACATGTGACTTTATAGGTATCCTTTGCATTTCATTTTTTTCTGCCTAAATCAGTTGTTCTTAACCTGTGAGTCGCAGACCACCACAAGCCTTTTTTCCTCATTATTTATTTATTTTATGTATTTTATTTCCACTCTTTTCACACCACCTGCCACTCCTTCCCTGTCGCTGACCACATTTTCTGTATCAGAAACTAGAGCTGATGTGGTTTATCCAATGTAATTTTACTGAATCAGCACCCCAAACTAAATCTAAAGTTGACCAAAAACTGATTCATACTAATACATGCTTTTTGTACTAATGTTGGAGAGTGGTCCCTGGTCAAGCAGTCCCTGGTCAAGTAATCCCTACTCAAAGTGATCCCTGATCAAAAAAAGGTTGGGGACCACTGTCCTAAGTGAAGTATCTTGCATTTGTCCCTGTTGAAGTTCATTTTGTTACTTTTGGCCTATCTGTTAAGATCATTTTGAATTCTGTTCCTATCATCTGGGGTATTAGCTATCCCTCCCAAGTTGGTGTCATCTGCACACTTGGTGATCATGCCTTCTAACCATGTAAGATTAATAAAGAGGGAGAGGGCATTTTCAGTGGCCGTTCCGACCCTGTGGAATACTCTGCCAAAAGAAATAAAACAGCCCCCCCCCCCTTTCTTCTTTCAAGAACCAATTAAAAACTTTCCTGTACACAGGCCTTTAGTGAAGAAAACTAAGCTGGAGTGATAAACACCATAATGTTATGGACTGGAACAAAGTGCAATATATTTTTACATGATACTACAATGTATATTATTGTTTTAAACTGCTTATTTTATTATGTTTTATACTTATTATCAGCATATATGGATTGTTGTTTACTTGATTTTAATATGTTGTAAACCACTTTGGGTCCCTTGAGGGAGAAAAGCGGGATATAAATATTTTATTATTATTATTATTATTATTATTATTATTATTATTGACACAAAAGCACAGTATGTCACAGCAAACGAGATCTACCGTACATGCTGGATTTCGTATCACAAAATCACAAGTCGATCACTTCCCAAGCGTCTAGGACTGTGTGATGTATTATTATTATTATTATTATTATTATTATTATTATTATTATTATTATTGTTATTTGAAATACAACAAGATGAGTCCACAGCAGACAAGATCACTCTGCTGGCTGTTGTATTGGATCACACATCGGACACTTCCCAAGTGTCTAGGACTGTGTGATGTATACTGACTTGTAAATTTTATGTTTATGCCGTTTTTTTCTTGTATGTACTGTTTATGTTACTTGGAAACCACTCTGAGTCCCCTTGGGGAAATAGAGCGGTATATAAAGTTTTGTTTGTTGTTTATTTTATTTATTTATTTCGGTTACTTCTACCCCGCCCTTCTCACCCCGAAGGGGACTCAGGGCGGCTTACAAAGGCACAATTCGATGCCGGCATCAACATAACAGTAGAATAAAAACAATATAGCATCAATTAAACAATTAACAATCAGTTTCTGCACTGCAACAATAAAACCAATAAAACCAATAAAACCAATAAAACCAATTTCACCTAATTAACACTCAGCATTCGCCATCTCATAGTCCAAATTCCAATTCCACTTTGTCAGTCCTGTCAGTCCTAGTAGTCTAATTGTCTTTATCTTGTTGTCAGATTGCACGAAGGCCTGGTCCCACAACCACATTTTTAATTTCCTCCTGAAGGAGAGGAGGGATGTTGATGACTTAATTTCCCCCGGGAGTGAGTTCCATAGGTGAGGGGCCATCACTGAGAAGGCCCTGCTCCTCGTCCCCACCAACCTCATTTGTGATAGCGGTGGGGTTGAGAGCAGGACCTCCCCAGATGATCTCAAACTCCGAGGTGGGACGTAGAGGGAGATGCGTTCGGACAGATACGCTGTACCGGAACTGTGTAGGGTTTTGTAGGTCAAAACCAGCACCTTGAATTGTGCTCGGAACTGAACTGGCAGCCAGTGGAGCTGACACAACAGGCGGGTGGTGAGCTCCTTGTATGATGCTCTGGTGAGCAATCTGGCTGCCGCTCGCTGGACCAGTTGAAGTTTCCGAACAGTCTTCAAGGGCAACCCCACGTAGAGTGCGTTGCAGTAATCTATTCCGGATGTAACAAGAGTGTGGACCACTGTGGCCAGATCAGGCTTCCCAAGGTATGGGCGCAACTGGTGCACAAGTTTTAATTGTGCAAAAGCTCTCCCGGACACTGCCGAGACCTGGGGTTCCAGGGTCAAGGATGAGTCCAGGAACCCCAGGTTGTACTGTGCATTAAAATATTAGGTTCCTATAAGCCTAAACGGAGCCCCCGGTGGCGCAGTGGGTTAAAGCACTAAGCTGCTGAGCTTGTTGATCGAAAGGTTGCAGGTTCGATTCCGGGGAGCGGCGTGAGCTTCCGCTGTCAGCCCTAGCTTCTGCCAACCTAGCAGTTCGAAAACATGCAAATGTGAGTAGATCAATAGGTACCGCTCCGGCGGGAAGGTAACGGCGCTCCATGCAGTCATGCCGGCCACATGACCTTGGAGGTGTCTACAGACAACGCTGGCTCTTCGGCTTAGAAATGGAGATGAGCACCACACCCCAGAGTCAGACATGACTGGACTTAATGTCAGGGGACTACCTTTACCTTTACCTTTTATAAGCATAAACACACAAAAGAGTGTGCAGATGGGAAATGCACACCCAGCAAATGGGAAATTAGCAGAGTCTTTACATAATTTGGCAGCACCTATTTAAAGAACACAACCTCACAGTGCCCTGCTATTAAGGTATTTTCAGATACAACTGCAAAAAGTCCTATCCTTTACCAGGCATTCCATTTTGAAGACAGAAAATGTGACTGTATGTGTCTTTCTGTTTCTCTCCTCCCTTGGGGTGCAGCACACACTGAACTTTGACACATTCCAGATCAAACAAACTCAAGGACCAATCATTAGATTGCAGCCTTCCTTCCCCTTCCTTCCCTGCTCACCTCGGAGTGGCCTGCTCTGGGAAGGCAAGTCGTAACATCCGGGTCCCAAGTGCGACTGGGTGCAGCCCAAAGTGGGAGTCAAGGCGCGCGGGGCCCGGTCATACATCCCACCACCTTCGCTCGCGCGCTCCCTCGCGCGCTAGCCTCTCGTTGCCATGGCGACCGGAGGCCTAACACGCCGCCCAGGCCTGCCCGAAAAGCAAGCCCCGCCCCCTCAAGCCAACCTGAGGCCTTTGGAGAGGGCGTGGCTATGACCTTTAGGCCTCCACAGGTTTTGGACTTCAACTCCCACAAGGGTTTTTATTTTTGGAGGAGGAGGGAGTAATGACCCACCCAAGTGGAAGTTATAGTTCACCCAGCATCCAGAGAACATTCTGAACCCCACCAATGATGGATCTCTAGAGCATACCTGTCACCGGGAAGTAGCAGCCAATAGTGAAAGGACCAGGCAGAGACATCTCCAGCTCATCCCCTGTTTGGGTATCAGCCAGCACGTCAACGACTTAAATCAAGACATAGTTTTCTTAGATCTACAGAGACACTCGCTGGGACACCTCAGCAAGCAAGAATCCAAAAGTGGCAGGCCCAAACCCAGCACCTCAATCCGTGGGTGATACCAGATGAGAGACTCCCCCCTGGGCACACAGAAGACTGGGCGACTTGGAAGGCGCTGAACAGACTACGCTCTGGCACCAAGAGATGCAGAGCCAACCTCAAGAAATGGGGCTACAAGGGAGAATCCACGGCATGCGAGTGCGGAGAAGAACAAACCACTGACCACCTGCTGCAATGCACCCTGAGCCCTGCTACATGCACAATGGAGGACCTTCTTGCGGCAACACCAGAGACACTCCAAGTGGCCAGATACTGGTCAAAGGACATTTAACCAACTACCAAGTTTGCAAAATCTGTGGATTTTTTTGTTTTTGTTTTTTAATCTGTGTGTTTGTTTTGTTCTGTTAGAAATGTAATACAATGGTATGGTTGCTGATGACACGATAAATAAATACCTGTCACCCAATGGCCAGCAGAACATAAGGTAAAGGTAAAGGTTGTCCCCTGACATTAAGTCCAGCTGTGTCCAATTCTGGGGTTTGGTGCTCATCTCCATTTCTAAGCCGAAGAACCGGCGTTGCCCATAGACACCTCCAAGGTCGTGTGGCCTGCATGACTTCATGGAGCGCCGTTACTTGCCGTTACTTGATCTACTCACATTTGCATGTTTTCGAACTGCTAGGTTGGCAGAAGCTGGGGCTGACAACGGAAGCTCACACTACTCCCCAGATTTGAATCTGTGACCTTTTGGTCAATAAGTTTTGCAACTCAGCGGTTTAACCTCCTGTGCTGCCAACAGAACATATTATTTATTATTTATTTGGAGTGCTTCTACCTCGCCCTTCTCAACCCCCTGGGGGGGGGGGACTCAGGGCAGCTTACAAAAGGCACAATTTGATGCCCAACAGTTCACAAAATACAATATACAAAATACAATATAACAACAACAGTTATAACTAGTTAAAACAATCAAATTAATACAATAGCAGCAATAAAATCATCTTGTGGTCAACGTTCGCCAATTCATAAATCCATAATCCATCCAGCATTGTCATTGTCCTTTCCTACTCTGGTTGTCATTGTCTTTTATCCATCTGCCAGCTTACCCAAAGGCCTGGTCCCATATCCAGGTTTTTAACTTCCTTCTGAAAGAGAGGAGGGATGTTGATGACCTAATTTCCCCGGAGAGTGAATTCCACAGGCGAGGGGCCACCACCGAGAAGGCCCTGTCCCTCGTCCTCACCAGTCTCACTTGTGATAAAGGTGGGGCCGAGAGCAGGCCGAGAGCAGGCCCTCCCCAGAAGAACGTAGAGGGAGATCCGTTCGGACCGTATAGGGTTTTGTAGGTCAAAACCAGCACTTTGAATTGTGCTCGGAACTGGATCGGCAGCCAGTGGAGCTGACATAACAGAGGGGTGGTATGCTCCCTGTATGACGCTCCGGTGAGTAATCTAGCCACCGCCTGTTGGACTAATTGAAGTTTCCAAACAGTCTTCAAAGGCAACCCCATGTAGAGCGCGTTGGAGTAATCCACTGGAAGAGTTTTGGGGACTGACCCACCCAGGTGGGATTTATAGTTCACCCTGCATCCAAAGACCATTCTGAAACCCACCAATGTTGGATCTGGACCAAAGTTGGCACACAAATCCAACATGGCCAACTTTGCATAGTGGCGGGATTTGGGCGTGATTGACCTTGGCATCCGGGAGTTATGGTTCACCCATATTCAGAAAACACAGAACATAGCACACAATGTTCAACACAGCACACAAATTCAACATGGCCAACTATTAATACTAATGGACTTTGGGGGTGACTGACCTTGAAATCTGGGAGTTATAGTTCAAAGTTGAATCTACGACATGCGAGTGTGGAGAAGAGCAAACCACTGACCACCTGCTGTAATACAACCTGAGCCCTGCCACATGCACGATGGAGGACCTTCTTGCGGCAACACCAGAGGCACTCCAAGTGGCCAGATACTGGTCAAAGGACATTTAATCAGCTACCAAGTTTGCAAAATTTGTGTGTGTGTTTTGTTTTTTTATCTGTTTGTTTGTTTTGTTCTGTTAGAAATGTAATACAATGTTCTGGTTGCGGATGACACGATAGATAAATAAATAAATAAATAAATAGTTCATCTATATTCAGAGAACACTGAACCCAGCAGATGACAGATCTGGTCCAAACTTGGCACACAAATGCAACATGGCCAACTTTGCATAGTGGCAGGATTTACATGTGATTGACCTTGGCATCTGGGAGTTATAGTTCACCTGTATGCAGAGAACACTGAACCAGCAGTTGACAGATCTGGACCAAACGTGGCACACAAATTCAACATGGCCAGCTGTCAATACTGATGGACTTTGAAGGTGATTGACCTTGAAATCTGGGAGTTATAGTTCACCCGTATTCAGTGAGCCCTCTGAACCCCACCAATGACGGATTTGGATCATACTTGACACACAGACTTGCAGTCAACTTTGCATACTGGCTGGATTTGGGGTTGATTACCTTGGCATCCGGAAGTTATAGTTAACCTGTATTCATAGAACATTGAATCCAGCATAGAACATTAAATCCAGCAAGAGACAGTTTGGGACCAAACTTGGCACATGGCCAACTGTGCATACTGGCAAGGTTAGGAGGAAATTGACCTTGATATATGGGAGTTGTAGTTCACCCACATCCAGAGAGCACTGAACCCAGCCGATGACAGATGTGGGCCAATCTTGGCACACAGACCCAAAGTGGCCAACTTTGTATACTGGTGGACTTTGGGGATGATTGACCTTGAAATTTGGGAGTTGTAGTTCCCCTGGATCCAGAGAGCCTGAACCAAGCCAACTACGAATCTGGACCAAACTTGGCACACAGACCCAATATGGCCAACTGTGGATATAGGCAGGGTTTGGGGTTGATTGGCCTTGAATTCTGGGAATTATAGTTCAATCATATTCTGAGACCACTGAACCGAGCCGATGACAGATCTGGACCGAATTTGGCACACAGACCCAACATGGCCAACTGTGAACACTGACCGAATTTGGGAAGGATTGACCCATGATTTTGAGAATTGTAGTTCACCCAGTTACATATGCATTTTCTAATGGCAGCATTCATTTTTTTAAAAAAACAAAGGCAGGCTTCAGACAGCAAAAAAACCCACCACCACAAACACCAAAGTTAATATTAGCTTTAGTGTTTTTGGTGGTGTTTGTTTTGCTGTCTCTATCCCTGTTCAGAAAATTTATTCTCACCTCCTATGATTGTAATAATTAGATTTTGAAAAAAATGGTTTGTGGAAACAAGGACTGGATATAAACTTCAGTGGAGACCCCTTTTCCCCATGATAACTCTTTCTGGAGTGAATTTTCTTTCCCAGGGGAAGATTTCTCTCACTTCCTATTGTTTCACTCCCATTCATAACTAGGAGTTGTTTGTCATTTGGATGTTCATAACTCGGGAACTATCTCTATTCAGCCTTCCTAACTTGAGCTATTGGTTTGTTTGCTTTCCAAGATGCTCTTTTCTACACATTCTCCCTCTGTTGTGCTGAACATTTCGTCCAAAGTTTTAGACTTCGGTTCCCCAGATCCCTGACCATTAGTCATATCACTTGGGGTTTTTAGGAGTTGAAGCCCAAAGTATCTGGAGGACCAAAGGTTAAGAACAACCAGTCTACCCAATGGAATCGGTGTCTGAGCACAATTCAGAAACCATTCAGTATAGTTTGCAATTTGAAACAGTTGTTTCTTCCACTTCTGAGGGCCTTTACATCCACTTATGTAATTCTTATTTATAGAGAAGCTTATCTGGATGCTTCCTTGTTTTTGCAGTACTGGCTTTTTTTTTATTATTTATTCAAACTGTTTGTTTCCCCCAGTTTGAGCATTAGCACTGCTATTTTGTCTGCTTTTCTTAACAGTTAGCATATCAATGCCAGGCTGTTTGCAAACACTATTTCCTGAACTATTTTTCATATAACCACATCAGAATATATGGATACAGCCATCGGGTTTTCTTGAATTTCATTGCCATCTGACCACACTGCTAACATTTTCTTTTTCTCCTCTTTATATTATAGAGTTCATAGAGATCTGCAACATTAAATCAATAGTCTATCATTTGACTCTAGTAGTGCTTTGAATGCTTGTGCCATGATAGAATTGTTCATGCAGGGAAGTCATGCTACTCCTCTATTCTGCCTTGGTTAGGCCACACCTGGAATACTGTGTCCAATTCTGGGCACCGCGATTGAAAGGAGATGTTGATAAGTTGGAATGTGTCCAGAGGAGGGCGACTCAAATGATCAAGGGCCTGGAGAACAAGCCCTATAAGGAGCAGCTTAATGTTTAGCCTGCAGAAGAGAAGGCTGAGAGGAGACATGATGGCCATGTCTAAATATGTGAGGGGAAGTCATAGGGAATAGGAAGCAAGCATATTTTCTGCTGCCCTGGAGACTAGGACACAGAACAATGGCTTCAAACTACAGAAAAGGAGATTCCACCTGAACATGAGGAAGAACTTCCTGATGGTGAGATCTGTTCAGCAGTGGAACTCTCTGCCCCAGAATGTGGTGGAGGCTCCTTCTTTGGAGACTTTTAAACAGAGGCTGGATGGCCGTCTGTCGGGGGTGCTTTGAATGCGATTTTCCTGCTTCTTCGCAGAGATTTGGACTGGATGGCCCACGAGATCTCTCCCAACTCAATGATTCTATGATCTTGAAGGTATCACAAAGCTCTTTAACTACACATTTTTCTACAACACAGTAACAAAATACAATGGTATCTGTTTGAGTTTGGTTCCAGGGCTTCTGTGGATACCAAAATCCATGAATGCTCAAGTCCCCTTATATATAATGGTGTAATGAAATGGTGTCCCTTATATAAAATGGCAAAAGGAATGTTTGCTTTTTTGGATTTTGTTTTAAATTTTTCAGCCACAGATACAGAGGGCCAACTGTAT